TATATATATATATATATATATATATATATATATATATATATATTAGCTTACTTTTGCTTTCCTTCCTTCTCCTTTGCCCTTTTTTCTTGCCGCTGCAGTTGGACTCCACCACACACCTATCGAACAGACGTGACACACAAATACAAACAAACAAATAAATAAATGCAACCGTATTGTAAACAGCAACAACAAAAATAAAAAATATAAGAAATTCCCTCGACCAACTTCCGCTACTCCCAATTTTGTGAGAATAGCGAAAAGGACTCAGTAGCCGCGTAGTTCGCGTAGTGTCAGCTGCCACGCCATATCCGCAACATTATCGTGATACGCCGTGTACACGCTGAAGCGATCGCCCGCACATTCAAGGGCGTCCAGTAGCTCAAGCACGGCGGCGCGACGTATGATGTCGTGTGCGCACCAGTTCTCAAACATGCGCTTGAGTGAGCGAAGCCGCATGGTGTCCACCTTGGATGTTCCCACCGTGTCGTTGAGTGCCTGGGTATGGTGCATAATAAGCTCGACTGTCACGGCCCCCTGGTAGAGAATACCGGGTCGCTTGCTAAGTATCTCGTCCACGACGTAATCCACATCGGCGCTTGAGGCCAATATGCGATCGTTGTTCCCAGAGACGCAGGAGCACGCAAGCACAGCGCCCACCACCCGCATCACCGCAATCAACTCGCACACTGTGGAGTTGTTTCCCAGAGGAGTCAATGCCAATTGGACGGCCTCATCACGCCACCGCGGTGACTTAGTTGGGGAGAAACCACCACCCTCCGCCGCCGCGTCACGGATCTTGCGAAACAGCACAAACTCAGGGTCATCTGATACACGCGCAAACACCAAACACTGCACCAGTGGATCGTAGTGCCCGGTGCTTGAAAAGGATTCCCCGAGTGGGCTGCTCCGTAGCGAGGACGACGGCGACGAGGACCCCCGAGGCCGCATAGACGGTGTCCCAGGCATGACATTGCTCGTTCCAGAGCTCACGCTCAACAAGTATGGAAGCAGTCTAAAGCGATTTTGGGCCGCAATACGCAAAATCTGCCGCTCATCATTAGGATCATGCAGATTGTTCAATATCTGCAAGCTGACAGGATAACAGCTCTTGACCACGGTCACCATTTGATCTGTCCCTTCACTGATTGTGAGCTCCCGCAAGAACACGTTAAAGAGGCCGCACTGCATCATGTTACGCACCTTATCCACGTGCGGCAATGCATCATTGCAGGGAAGGTGGCAGTAAAGAATCATTTGAGCCATGTTTTCAAACATGCGTGGACAATTGTCGTATTCACCCTTTTCCACATCAAAACGGATCCACTCCAAGATAGTTGAAAATATGGTCTTCGCATCATATACACCGCCGCAATTACTCAACAAGGAGGAAAGAAGAGATGCCACTCTTTTGCGGTCCTCAAACAAAGACGTTCTGGTAGCTGCAAGACGCAACCACCAGGTAAGGCATACCACCACGTTTTTTAGATCCATGCCCCGCAACATGGACACGGCTGTTGCCTCCTCACCGTTACGAAAAAGGCCCATCAACTGCTCCGTGACTTCCTTGATATTTACCGTCGTATCAGTAAGCGTTGTGTTGCTGAAGCTTCCACATGGAGATCCTGCCCAATCACTTGTGGTGTGTGCAAGACTCATGCTAATGTGGTGTGGTCGCATATCCATCTGAAATTGAGCCACACCGTCCGGGACAAAATAAACAGGAGTTAAGGGACTGCTGAGCTGTAGGGAATCCATACTGCTATTGAAACGATTCTCATTATTGTCATTGACAATATTAGTAAGAACAAGCTGGCCGTAGGGTTGATGTTGTGCACGAGAGACCCGCTCCTTCGCTAGAGACTGGGGTCGAAGCATATCACCAGTGTTCTTATTATTGCTGGTATTGCCATTACTGCTAATACTATTGGAGCCGTTGTCATCTCCATTCTCCTTGCTAACGTCCTTGCTGTAAGCGTTGAGCGTGTTCATATTTAATTCGTTATAACCCCCACTTGTCTGATCATCCCCAATGAGATGATGTGGCGACGTGGCCCTCACGCTGTCATCAGGTGGCTTCTTCGTCGCATTTAGCTCTTGTGGTAACGCAATAGAAACTGGAGACATTGGCGAGACTACGCCGGAACCTTTCTCTCCGAGTGTAGCGGCGGCGCTCGTGGTTTTGCCCGCCTTTGGCTCCTGCACGTGCTGCTGAACCAACTCCGACGCCACCCACCCGTTCACTCGATTTAAATCACTCAGATCCATCATCAAGAACACCACACGCAGTTTGGGGTGTGACAGCTCAATGGTCTTCGCAATGCCCAGTGCCTGTGCAAGAAGATTCGGCATCTGCTCCTTAAGTACCACCCCAGTGTGGCGCAGCAATGTCTGAAAGACCTCAAACACCGCCTCCTCCTTCGCGGTGGGATCATCGAGGTTATAGTCCTTCACAAGGATGCGAATAATGTCGTCAATGACTCGAGCTGTAAGAAACCCCATTTTGAAAAGTTCCGCAACAAACCGAATGTTGCCAACAAGGCGACGCTTCAATCGACTGCGCTTTCCCTCCACCTCCTCCTCGCTCAACGGCGCCCCTGTTGTGCAGTCAACCAATTCATCCGCGGAGAGTTGCAAAGGACGCTGAAACTGCGCCTCGCACAACGCAATTAGCATGCGACGAAATCGTCGTAAAAAACATTGATCGCGCGACCCGAGATCGTGTTCCCCATTCTTCATAGAGCATATATCCTGCGCAAGTTGTGCGTAGACGCCACAGTACGCAGGCTCCTGTACAGCCTTTTCAAAGATAACCTTGCAAATTTCCATCAACTCCGCGTCATCCACCTGTCGCAGCGGGAGCAGCAACAGTTCCTCCAAAAGGACATTGTATTTGGCTGGTGTAATGCGACTAAGAATCGACATCACCTTGTGATGAGTGAGTCGAACAGGCTTCCTGCATTTCGTGCTGCCCTTCAGACTGCATCCTAGCGTCCCACGTGTGAGGCCATCGTCCTGTTCCGTCGTCCCATGTAGAGAAAGTTGAAGGTGGGGAGGAACTTTTAGAGATGGAATCCGCAAGTACTGCCGCACCACCCAGCGAAGCACGCCGTACGGTGTGTGGGCCGCATCTCTTCGAGCGGAAAGGAACATCTCCGTAGGGTAAACCCTCCTATTGGTTGCTTCCTCTGTAAACTTGTGAGAAAATACGTTGACTTCCGCGCTTAGCAAAGGGAAACCGCTGCTGCTACTCATAGGAGGCAAAGTGGCACAGTCAACATCGGGTTCTAAACACTGTGACTGCCCTAGCGCCTGCGGTGGTACCAAACGGGCCTCCTTTGGTGCCTTTTCTGAGGTTGTACTGCCTGCCGAGTACAATGGCCGTGGCAACAGCGCCACACACCCGTTGGACGGTGGCGCAGCCTTCGCGAAGCGTGCGGGGGGGCGAAACACTGACGGTTTACACGTCTCCGCTCTCGCAAGACTAAGTGGACCCGGTGCCACGATGAACATTATATATATATATATATATATATATATATATATATGTGTATATATATATAAATTAAAAACCAATAATAAAATCAAAGCAAGCCCTTACCACTGATGCTATTTGCTTGCGTTGATGCTGCCGTTTTCTTTTTATTTTCCTTTTCTGTACAAAACAAGAAACAAATCAAAATATATATATATGTCTAATTCCTCTGCGGTGACGTATGCGTAGGCTCTTGGGCAACGACTGTGGCAGCATGGAGAGAGTGGGAAAGAAGAAGAGTCACAAAGATGCCCCGCAGTGGTTATCCGCACAAGACACAACTACTGGTGGGTCCAATCAAGTAAAAGATGCACAGAGAACAAAAAACGTGGGACAGAAAAAAGAAATTGAGAGAGTAAAAAAGATACGGCAAAGGAAACACATCAGACAGGGGAAAAACACCGCAACGGTGCCTCCTCCTTTTGTTGCTCAAGGCACAAGCGGAGAAGAAGCAGATGACGTTACGAGGGATTCAGCCCGGCGAAGTGCGAGTTGAAGCCTCTCCTGGAGGTGGGCGAGTCCCTTGTCCCCGCCAGGTGGAGCCGTCGGTTCGCCCTTTTCCACCGCCACGGCGTTCTCGCGGCGGGCGTCCTCCAGGAGGGCAGCAACGTCACTTTCACTTGGCGGCGGAGGCACATCGCGTGACCAAATAGGACGCGGCACACCAGCGATTCGCTCCACCCCCGCCGCCGGGCACAACACCTCCATCCGCAAGGAATCATGCAGTTGCGAGAGCCGCGCGTTGATCGCACGCATTCGAGACTGAAATACCCGTTGCTCACGCGCCTCGCGCATATACGCATCGCCAAGCTCGCGCGCTGTTTTCCTTCTTTGCGGTTGTTGCTCGCTCTGTTGCTGTGTCGGCGGCGACAAGGAAGCTTCCTCGTCATAATTGTCACGTTCACTGTCGTCGACGATGGTGTTGTTCTCGTCAACGCCAAGTGGGCCGCGGACCTCCTGAAACCACCGCAACCGCTCCTCCAACGCCGTGAGACGCTCCATTGGCATCGCGTAAGGTGACGTCTCTTTTGTGAAATCTGTGCGCATGATCTCCTCAATTCGTTGGTTCTGAACCCCGTTGAGACGGACGCCTCGCACCGGAAGTGACGGCTGTTTTCTTGTCGGAAGGAGACGTTGCCTTGTCCCAATTATGGCCCTATTTGCTTTCCTTGGCTTTTCAAGCTGCTGGGGTTGCTGCGGAGGTGTTGGCGGCGCGGGCAGTGTCTTCTGCGCCACTGCGGAGAGTGGCGAACGCACACGCACGCTGCGACCGAGACGTCGCCGACAGAGCGGGGTTTCGCCTGTCACTACTTTTGAGGCACGCACCTCTGTCTTCTCGGCGGGTACCGTTGACGCTACTTCGCCCCTGGCGCTCTCACGCCGCTTCACCTCATCCTCAACAACCCCGGAAACACCCACAGAGACCCCGTGCACCGCCGCCACGTCCTCCCCGTTCTCGCCATCGCGACAGCCGCTACTACTGATCTCATCCTCGCCGCCCTCCTCTGCGGCAGCCACCTCAGTGCTGAGTCGATCTTCATCTTCATCTTCCGCGGCCACCGGCACGAGGACTTTGCCCTCGCCATCAACACATATATGATACTCTTCCCCATCATTGTCAAAGGCCGTGATGAACGTCGCAATTTTCCGGCTCAGTGTTTCGAGTTCCCGTTCAATGTCAATGGAAGTCCTCACCTCCTCGTTGGTTGACGGTGGTGGTGTCTCTGCCTCTGCGGGTGCACCTTCGCCCCGGCGCTGGAGGTACTTGACAAAAATGGCGGAGTTTGTCTCCAAAAAACGCAGCAGCTCCTTGTCACGAATGCGGCGCACATCTTCTTCCGTGAGTGCAATGTGTCGCCCGCCATTCACAAACGGTACCGTCTTCTGCAGCATCTGCTCCGCGCGAGCGATGGAATAGAGAGACATGGACGGTGTTACTGAAACCGCCGTTGAAGAAGTGGCGTTCATGTCGTCGCCAAAGTCGTAGTTGTCGGAACCATCATCACTACCAAGGTCTAAAGAGTCACTGCCCCCCATCAACTCCGCAAGACCCTCGTCAAGCTGAGTCTCCAGCACACGACCGGAAAGGACATGCAAAAGCATGCGGGAGGCAAATGAACTTCGCGTTGAGTCAACTACATCATGTGACTCTAAGCCACGACTGCCAGGCTTCTCGGCGCTACGACACGAGGACGCAGAAGTAGGCGTATGATATCTTGACTGCATATGTACAGCTATACATGTATGTTGTATATGTAGCCTTCAAAGAGATGAGATGAGAAAAGCGTTCCGTAGAAAACAAACAAGCAAAGACAAAACAAAAAGGCCGGTGCCAAGCTCATGGGTAAAGTTTGGTTGCTACGCATCAAGCAAGCCTTTTGCCCTAACGATGCGTAGCAACCACAACCACAACCACAACAACAACACAACACAAAACAAAAACAAAAACAAAAACAAAAACGATAGGAAAATAAACGCAAACCAAAAGGGCGTACGTATACGAAAAAAAATACAAAAAAAAATGGAAAATAAACAATTGCGATATGCGACAAGGCTCAACATAATAGTTTTACAGGAAAAGTAAGACAATGAACGTTGTCGAGTCATAGCGAGCAAACCACCGTCACCGCCTTTCATCGCCTCTCCCCCTGCTAGTAACCCACAACCTCGTCATCCCTGGTGATGGAGAGTCGATAGGAAACGTCACCGACTGCGTCTGCGGCAGACCTCTCAGGGGAGCATGTCAACGAAGGCGCAGCGTTGCACTCCGACGTCTCTGTGCCTTTCGTCAAGGTGACGTCGCTGCCACCGTACCAACTGCTTTGCACACCCAGACCATACGTTCCATTCGGGGAAAATTTCATGTACTGCGCCCGTTGCAATGGATTGAGTTTATCTGTATGCGACGGCACAGTGGCGACTACTTGAAACTTCTGCAGCTGCGAGGGGTGCTGGGTGTTGCCGATGATGTCGCTGGAGGCGGCAGGTCGCGAGGGCACAGTACCAAACACCTTCTTCTGCTTTGTTGCCAACTGGCGAATAATATCCCATCTGTGGTTAACGAGAGCGGCGTCCTGCTGCAATGCCAGCTGCTGATCCACGTCATCCTTCAGAATTAGAGCGTCGTGAAGCCTGCTACACAGCTCACACTCTTGCTGTTTCAGCAAGCGGAGGACGTGGTCATCGTGCTCGCCACCATTCATACTGACAGCCCTGTCATCGCTGTTATGGATGCACACAGATGGCGTGGTGCGAGGTCGCTGCGGGACGGCCGCAACACGGTTAATGTGCGTCGGTAAACGCAAGCAGTTGGCATGAATTCCCGGGTCCGTGAAGTTGGCGCACGCAAGCACACGGCACCGGCGGCCAAAGTGGTACCGTGTCAGTACACTTGTGAGTGCTGAAAGCAGCTGATGCCCCTCCTCATCGGAAGCAAACGCAAAGAAAAGATCATGCTCCTCCTGCACCCGAATCAGCATGGACGGAGAGACATCTTTGCGCTCACGTTTCGAATTTATGTACACCGCTTCCACTTGTTCCAACGCGGTACACCGCGCGGTGTCAGCCTCAGAATTCCCGACAAAAATGTGCGAAGAGGTAAGGTAGGCGCAGCGCAGTGTCGGCGGCGCCGGTTGCTCCCAGTGAAGCACGCGGCCAAACCAAAGGAGCGCGGCCCTACCACAGAAACTGGGGAACAAAGGCTGGAGCGACTTCGGCACCTCCACAAAGGGAATTTCCGTCAGAAGATCCACCTTTGCAAACTCCGCCACAGTGATATCTTGTGCCTCTTTTGGAAACTGCAACGGATTCTCCGCGCCATACTGCTGCTCAAGATGGAAAAAGAAATCCTCTTGACTACCACGGAAAGAGTGAATTATCTCATCAATCTGTACCTCGTCAGGCAGTGGCAAGCCTGCACGCACAAAGAACGCCGCAACTCGCGCGCGATTTCGCCGTGTGGCGAGTACAGGTTCAGGGCCGTATTTCTTCTCAAGTCCATAGAGGAGAGCGTCCTCACACCCAGCGTATCGCTGGAGCAACATCTCCGCCTCTCCGCTGCGCTCTGGTATGTAGCGTGCGAGAAAGGCCTCTAGTCGCTGAAGCCAAGAAGGACGGTCCGCAGTTTCATCCTCGCTTGGCGGCAATGGGGCCGGGTGGAAGGAGGTCGGTGAAGGCGGCGATGCAGGTTCATCTGAAAACGAAGCAGAATCCTCGTTGGGAGGCATGGGTCCGTAGAGTTGGGTGAGTCTGTCAAAGAGCAGCTGTTCACGGCCCTGGTAAAGTGTCATTATGGCGTCAACGTCTGCAATCTTCTTTGGCTCATAGTGGCGATAAAAATTTACCAACGCCCGCCTGACTTCCTCCAGCGTTAGGGTTGTTCGGTACCTTTCGAAGGGCAGTGCCGCTTCCCGGGGCTCTGGACCGTACCGCTGCACAAGCTGACGGAAAAGCTCCTCTTCACGCGTCTCGTAGCTGTAGAGGACTTCGTCAACAATGCCAACGCTATCAGGAAGGTACTTTGCGCAGAACGCCAGCAGCCGTTCACGATATTTTGATTCTAAGTGGCTCTCCTGACGCACGGCGTACTCTGGGTAGGTGTTATAGAGGAGACTGAGCAACTCCAACTCCTTTCCAAAGTACTGCTCGGTAAGTACTGCGGCTGTATGTTGTCTCGATGGCTCACATTCCCGTAGGATGTCCTTTACGCGATCAAAAACAAAGTTTCGATACCGCACACACTCTAATGATGGCGGCAGCACAACGGTGGGCATCTTATACCTCTTACTCGGTCTCACCCGCAGTTTCAGCCCTTTTGTGGTGGTGACAGATTTAACGGGAGGCACGTTGGCTGGATCGAGGGCGCAAAGGGCATTGTGCAGCTGCGCGAGCAACTGGTTGCCGTCTTTTCCGCGTGCTTGAACGCAGATATCCGCATCCTTCAGTTTCGAAACTAAAAAGATGGAACGCCTCTTTCGCACGCTGTCAATGTTGTGAACGAAAACAGCTGAAATGGCGTGCAGCGGCAGCACACGCATGGGTTGCTGTGCTTGCACCACCACGGCCTGTGCCGGGGTGATGAAGAAAACGGCCTCCGACGACTCCTGCAGCGTCTCGCCGTGGAACTTCACCCACCCGGCCCAAAAAAGCTGCACATCCTTGAAGGGCGGGAAACAGCATCTCACGGCGAGCGGCACCCACACCCCTGTGGGGACAACATCGGTAGCAATAGTGTCAAGGGTGGTCGTCGCTCTTCGCTCTTCATCCGCTATACGGGCAAGTGTCGCCACAAACTGCCCTTTCGAAATGGCGATAGACGACACCGCCGCCAGGTTGGCCGCCCCGCTGCGTGGCGGGATGCTGTCGCGCAACGCCTGCTGCCCTTGCGACGCCGTGACGGACGTGCGACGCGGTGAAAGCCGCAAAACTCCTTTTGGCAGAGCATCACAACCATCGACCGAGTACATGTGCATCGGAACGTCGCGTTCGCGTGATGACAACAGCCGCAAGACAATCGCTGCAGCCGTGTGACCCGGGCGACCGGCCAAAATGATGTCACACGGATCCAATTGGCCACTAAGCACAAATGCGGTGAAAAGACTCCGTGACTGTTCGTGATTGTCAAATGAGGAAAAATCGCTGTTCGTCACGAGGCAGCGGATGCTCACAAGTTCCACGCGCCGGTAGATGTTTCCCTGCTCATCCCCAAGATAAAGACCATCGTGCGTGAGAATCACCACAACGGGCTCCCGCTGGCTTTTGTTGCCCTCTGCCAACACAAACTGTTCCGCCTGCGCACAGTAATACGCTGCGCAGCTGTCGAGAAAGCCGTACGCGGTCCGCAGCGCATCAGGCACGACTGCAAACGGCATGCCGGAAGCGAGATCAATGGATGACGACATGGGCAGTCTCCACCTCCTAAACCGTCGGAAGCAGCAACACAAAGATGTAAGGCGGAGAGAAAGAAAAAAAGAAAAAAAAAGAACAAAAGCTAAAACATATCTTGTCTATGCATTCTCTCTCTCTCTCTCTCCCTCACCCATTGCAAAACACACAAACACTTCCTTATATATATATATATATATATTCTAAGAAGCCAAGCAAACACACACAACTTTCATGCGTAGTCAATGACGCAGCGCAAAACTTCAGGGCGGCATCGCTATGCGGTGCCGTTGTACACGGGCGAAGCGCCGGTGTACCAATCTGGTGAACCGGTGTTGTCAGTGGACTTTTCCTGCAGCTGTCTTAGACTGTCGCATGTGCTGTGCTTCACCTCTACCTGGTACTGCGTCCCAGTACCCCCTACGTGGTCATCCTCCAACATACTCGCCAGCGAATCGGCCGAGAGTGCCTCCTCGGAGCCTGATTCTTTTGGTGCAGCTTTTTCAGTCTCTGCACCCACCGCTGGAGCCAACACGCGTGACGCCGTTGCCGTAAGTCCACTCCCTGATTCTGTGGCTTCCCGCTGTTCCTTTGCCATCAATGCCACCTGGTGCGGCGTCAGCTGCTCCCGGTGCAGCTGGGCAAGAACATTCAGTACAACAGTGGCCTCCCGCATTGTAATAAACCGCCCCGACAACTTTGCCTCCTCCGCCTGCACCAAGGCTACCCGCTTCTTCACTGTCAAGTCACTGTAAAAGCCCTCGAGCACCTTCTTGATGGCCTCACGGTGAGCAACACCCTTCCGCTTGAGCTCATAGTATTCCTTCTCCAGCCTGTCAAGCGGCTTGCGCACCCAAAAGATGTTGTAGTACCGCATCCCCTCCGACGCCACCAACCGACTCTTCCGCGCCAACTCATCGCGGAGTGCAATCCGCTCTGAACTTAGCGACCCCGCGTCGTCCTGTGTTGGCTCGCTCGCGTTGCGCGGGTTGAGTGTCCTCTCCTGCTGGAAGTTGTGGTTGATTGGCGGGAACATGCGAAAGTGACTGTACCATTCCGGCGGGATGTAAAAGCCGGTGCCCACAAGACGGCCCATCCGCTTCATGTGTTGCCAGGGCTCGTACGACTCATTCCAAACATCAAAGCGCGGTGCGACGCCCATGTTCTTTGGCATCTTGTACCGCCACAGCGCTGTAGACCGCATCCTCGCCTCTGTGCTGCCCTTCCCACAGCTGTCACCTTCGCGTCCCCGCACGTCCCGTAAAATTGTATATCCCTCGCCGCGTGTGTGCGCCACGCCCCCTTGACGACTACCCTAGTGAGTGGTGCGGCACCGCACCCAACGTGTTCAGAGCGAGGAAGCAGCAAAGCGATAAAAATCACAACAAATACTGTCGCCCCCCCCCCCCACACACACAACAGACGGGTAAATGTTGACCCCCGCAGGCGTACACGATGCATGCACAGTGACATACAAATCCGTGTGCCTACGCGGCCGGCCTAAGGAATGACTGGAACCAAACAAGAGCAAGACAACAAACGCCACCACCAAAAAAAAAAGGGGGGGAGGGGACAGCACGGCAAAGAAAACTTACACCACACCCCTGAGACGAGTGTCGAGGATTGCCGAGCAAACCCAAAGTACAACAATAAGAAGCGTAAAAAGGACCAAAGCACTGCGGTCGATCTCGCTACACGCGTCGCAGCGGTCAGTTGCCACATGCACGCACACTGTGCAGAAACGATGAAACGCAAAGCACAGCGACAAACGAGTCAGTCACAGACTCACCAAAGAAAAAAAGAACCAAAAGCAAAAAAAAAACACACACACACACCGCGCGCACTTACAAACAAAAACACAAGCACATAAATACATAACCCGACGACAGAAAAATTTCCATCTAACACGATTAGTATGTTGTGGTGACCTGCGTTTTTCCTTTCATGTGGGTAAAGAGCTGTCTCACCCTTCGCGCCCTCCCTCCCTCCCTCCCTCCCCACACACACATACAGTCCAGTCTGTCTTTGCTTTCGTCTTTTGCTCCTGCACCCCTTTGTCTCTCGCTCTGTTGTTGTTGTTTTTCTCTTTCCTCCTCCTCATGTGGTTCATTGTGTGCGTCTTGGCAACTTTATCATTCCTTCACTCTTCCCTCGTCGTTCCTCTCATTTTAACTTTGATCTCTCTCTCTCGCGCGCGCGCTTGTCTTAGTTCTTCTGAGTCTTATTCTTCCCCGCAATCGCCCCCAGCTGACTTCGTCGACAGCCGCCCTAAGCGCCCATCCTGCTCATTCCTGCATTCCCCTTGCGTCTGGGCACAGTGTGTGCATCCACTGGCAAAACTCATACACCCATACACGCATAAATCTAAACGATAATGGGAGACGGAGGGAGATAACCCGGGATGCGACAGGCAAGCACCTTAGCCCACTTCAAAAGTAGAACCGCAAGAAGAAACCGTTGTTTCCCTCTTCTTTCCTCCTTTTTCCTTCGTTCCTCGCCGCGCACAACCTTTGCTGTGGTGAGGCATATATATATATATATATATATATATATATATATA